AAAGATTTGTTGATCGATCGATAGTTTGCTTTATTTCATTAAGAATGATCTTCCCACCATTAATAATATCCACTCCCTTATCAAAAAGATCTCTATTACGTTTTGCATCTTCAAACAAATTTAATACCGCTTTACAGGAGTCTGATGTTGACGCTAAATCTGTTAATCTTGAAATTGGAAATTCAAGTAATTTCGAGTTCTTTGGTGAAAAAGGTGTTGTTTGGTAATCGGGCTGTGAGTGTTCATCATCTCCAATTCTAGGTAGTCTATGACCAAACCATTCTTGTGATTCCAAATGACTTAATAAATTAAGCATTTGTTGAGCGGTTGGACGGTTCGTTGGATTAATATTCCAACCTTTTTCCATTATTTCCTGATATTTCACGGGTGTGCCATTGGTTCTCTCGGGTTGCGGATGTTCCCCATTGAGAACTTTGTTTGTTATCTCTTCAGGCAATATGTCGTTGAATGGAGTACGGTTATTGATGATTTCCCAAAGAACCAAGGAAAAGCTAATCGATAAAAAAAAAAAATTGTAATAAGAAAAAATTGTTTATTTTGAGTATTTAACAAATAAATCTCATAAATGTATACGATGCTAAAGCATTACCTATAAATTTCGCTGGCTTTAGTATACATTTTATCTCGAGTTTTTTCGGGAGGAGTCCATCTTGGATCCGTACGCTCTCTAGCTGAAGTTAACATAACCGGTGAAATAGATGAATCTTCCGCTAAACGAAAACCATGAAGTTTAACTTGCAAGCAAGCGTTCAGGTAGATGTTGCAGCTAATAAATTAAAATTAATAATAATTAATGTATAAGATTTATTTATAGCGTATTATCGTGCGTCAGAATGACATTCACCTTCTAATGTCATAGTGTAGGATCTCTTCTTTATGAATAAAGTTCAACGCGTTAGAAATTTCTTGTGCGATCGACAGTCTTATTGTCCATTCCAGGTTCTGGTTCTCTGCAAGATAAGCTTGTAGATTATAACCACCCCATTCCCAAATAACACTATAACTTGTGTTATGACGAGTAAAACCATAGCTATTCAAAGGAAAAGAACACAATGTGTCTGGTAAGAAAACTTTACTTCTAACCAAAGAAAAAATAAAAGTCTCTCTTTATATTTTATACTTACAATGTAAGAACAGATCTACAATTACAAATTTTATGAATGTATTTGACTTCTTTTTCCAAATCACAAAGTCTTTGATCATTTTTTTTGAATTTTCCGATTTCCTTTTCAGCCACAGGTGAATTAAAATACATGCTTTTCTTAACACGACATTTACTTCCCGAGTCATGAAGTGGATCCGCAGGTTTAATTAAATCTGAAGGGATTTCAAAGTTCGCTAATTTTAAATCATCCATTTTTTGTGAAAATTCGCTAAAATTTCTACCAAAGTGATTAAATTTTTAAAAATAAATAAATAAATGAAATGAAAATAAAAAAGAGCGACGTTTTTTGTTGGATTTAAATAATTTCAAAAAAATTAATGAATTGAAATTTTCAATCACACCTTTTTTGTGACAGTTGTTCCAAGAAAGCTTAGTCTTTGTTTTGCGTTCTTCATGCAATTATGCAAACACGCTACTATAAATGTAGTCGACATTGAAACTTTTATGTATCACATGAATTGTGCTTAATTTAACGGTGTTGTGACCAATAATGCAATTTTAGGGAACATCAAATTTTTTGGACTAATTAATGTAAATCCAAAATATTATTAGGTTGATTGA